CTTGCAGTTGTATTCAGGCAGGGGAGCATAGCAGAACAGAGAGGGTGAAAAGAAAGGCTGAGATAATGACTGCTTCCCTGCTCTGGAAATTCGGTTCTTTCTTTCTTTTTTAAAGATATATTTATTTATGCATACAAGATGTGAGGTACAGGCCAGAGGTGTGGGGGCTGAAAGGATTCAACTGAAACAGAATGGGGAGCAGAACAGGCAAATCTATTGAAATACACTGCTGAGGAGAGCAGCAGACAGGTTAGAGAGGTCTGCTGCGCCATGTGGGTCAGCTTCTTGGCCGGGGATCGAACTGGTGCTGCAGTAGCTGCCCACTGCCTCATAGTGCTGTGCTTTAACCCGTTGCACCACCAGGGAGGGCCTGGACTCTCGTTTCTGGTTGGAGCTGAATCCCTTCCCCCCCCACCATCCCCGATCCTGGAGCATGACTTCCTGTCCTTCTCCTACTGGGCCTCTGAGTGTTGCTGACAGCTGATTTTTCACCATTTCTAGTTTGTATCTTTAACACCATACCTTTGAAACAGACCTTCATTAAACACTCTTGATTCAATTGCGGGTGAATTTTCTTCCCTCTCAGGCTCTACCATCTTGCCACAGTAACAATTCTCTTTCTGTTTCCCCTAATTATTATTGAGCCTGGAAAACAAGCAAATTCCATGTTTCTGTACTAATATTAACTCTTGGGACTTCATACACTTGTCTGGATCCCCAGTAAACAAAATAGATGAAATTATTCATATATCATGCTGGAATTTTAAGCCTCTGTTGGATTTGTGAGTCTGTTTATTTCACAAGTTCTTCTACCTCTGGAAGCAACAATTTCAACATAGTTCCACTGTTGCTTGAGAACACAAATTGTTTGGTTCCTGAACTTTCCCTGCATCAGTGAAATATGCAGAATCTTTGTACCTTTATGAAATAGTGGGACATTTCAACATGTACTACAGGGTATCCTTAATATTGAGAAATTTTGTTCCAAAGTCCTGTCTAATCAATAACTTTTCTTGTCCACATGCACGACCTTACAAAATAATTTTGATCAGTTTAAGCACAGACAAAAGCACATTGCCTTCTCAGGTGTGTGCTAATCCACCTGAACTTGCTCTTTTTATTCAGAGCCAAATGACTACACTTTCTACTTACATAAAGAGGGGGCTTCCCCAGACCTGGGGATCCATCAACACTTTTAGGCATTCTTGTCACAAGCCAGCCCAGCTATCTTTTACCCAGCAGTTAACTGGCACACTGACTTGAATCTTTTAGTTATTTATAGTGACAGTAGCATATTTGGTATATGCTCATTCTCCTAAAAGCCTGATAACTCCAGTAATCTTGTGCTATAAGTGGCACAGCTATCCCTTAGTTAGAAACGAGTATTTGGAGGGGGCAGGGTGATGCAGGCTATTCTGGTTCCCCAACAGTTCCCTAGTAGAAGTATGTCTTTATAGCAGCAGTGCTGGCTATCATGAATACCTGTGAATTTGCCCCGGAAACTGTCAGCAACTCTCAGCCAGCTTAGAGACATCAATGATGAGATCTTGGGTTATTTCTGGAGTAGGTGATTGATGTTTCAAATAGAAGATGACATTTTGATGGCATCCAGACTTGCTATGATAGGAGTTAATGAGGATAATGACAATGATAATGATATTTACTTTGTACCTTTCTTCCAAAGAACTCTTCCTTTTATCTCATTTGCATTGAAAATTTCCCTTTAGAGTTGGAGTTGGGAGGGGTAGGTGTTATTAATCCGTTTTTTTTTTCCCAGAAAAGAAAATGTAGAGTAAGTTAATTGCCCAGCTTTGAGGCTCCATTTTGATAGTGAGATGTTGAAATCACAAACTAAACTTGGAGAAATTGAATTTAGAAACATCAACATTTCCATTCATTCTATACAAGGTTGCAGTAGCGAGCTCCAGTAATGTCATTCCCAGACTCAAAAGTTTTTAGGAGGTTCTCGCGGACTGCCAAACTAGTCCAAATACCCAACCTTCCAAGGAAAAGCCCCTGACATTCCCACATAGATGGTCTACTGTGCTCTTGTGCTTGGCTCATGTTTTAGCCAACTCAGCCCACTTGCACCCCTTCATCTGCTTTGAGTACCCCAGTCTCCTGTCCTAAAGTCCATCACTCTTGCTGTAACTTCGTTAAAGTCCATCTCCTTATTGTTATGTAAATTCCAGATATAGGGACTATTACCTTTGTCCACCAGGAGCCAGCAGTTAACTGACACACAGTTGGTGCGTCTGGAATACATGCTACACTCTCCCACTTCCCTGGGCCTTGCTCAGGCTGTTCCTCAGCCTCCAATGTCCATGCTTCCGTCTTGACTTATTGAAGCCAGAGCCACCTTCCAAGCCCAGATCAGACCCTGATTCTTCTGCTTGCTCCCCCAGATAGGGGACTGCCACAACACTGTTCTTTTACAGTTCTCACCTTACCTCTGTTGTGTTGTCATCATTTATGACTGGTGTAACCTTTCTTCTTGTTTCTTTCAGACTGTCAGCTCTGGACAGGACTTCATCCTGGAGCCTGACCGTGCTCATTTGCCTACATTACTGGTGACCAGCATTCTCCATTCAGCAAATTACCATTTCTAGAATCTCATCATGGAGGGGATGTTTTTCCTTCTTATCTTCCCCCGTTCTTCTGGAAGGCCGAGGAAGTACAGTCAGGGAAACCCTATCAATTCTGCCTTTAAAAGGTGAGGAGACCTGTATCCTCGTACCTAGGTGGAGGGCTCTCCTATGGGGGGGTCAGAGGTGTCAGCAGGAGGCAGGCGCACATTTTTAGTTTTGTTGCTCATACAATGCCAATCTAATGGAGAAGAACTAATCAATGCACTACCAACTGAGAAGATGTGATTGAATCGACAGCCTCTCTGAGGAATTTTAGCACTGGTCTGTGTATCTGATGACCTTGTTTGTGCATGCATCACTCAGTTACAGTAAGAAGGCACCAGGTTGATGTAATGCTGGGTCTGTGTTCAAAACTATAAGAAGTACATCTGTGGCAGCTTGAAAACCCTTTACTAACAGCGAAGTGAGCATACTGAACATCTATGATGTAACACTTCATTTAAGTTAAAAAGAGCACTTCAATAATGGTATCATGGAATATTCGGAGATGTTAAAAATGGATGATGTATTTACTGTCATGAAGAGATGCCCACAATTTACTGCTAAGTGAAGAAAGAAGCCACAGAACAGTAGGATTATGCAAAATTATTCCATATTTGAATCTGTGTCTATTTACAGGCATGTAAATGTTCTTCAAAGTGTTAATGGTGGCTATCTCAACATGACATTTTGAGTAGTTTTTTCTTTACTTTTACTTTTATAATTTCTTTGAGTTTTATTGTTATAGTGAGCAGTTGTTAATTTTACACTCAGGAATAAGAAAAACAGTAAGGCTACTTTGAGTTTGGAAAAAAATTGTGAATAAAAATCCTTCATTAAAAAAAATCTAGGGTCCTCCCTGGTGGCACAGTGGGTTAGAGCACAGCACTGCAAGCTAGCTGCAGAAGCTTCAGTGTGAGTTCGATCCCAGCCTTGATCCCTGCTCTGGAGGTGATCCACATAGGGTGGCAGACCTCGCCTGATCCACCCATTGCTCCCCTTAGCAGTGTGCTTCATCAATCTGCCTGCTCTGCTCCCCACTCTGTCTCTGATGAATTCTCTCACCACATCTGCACCTCTGGTCTGTAGCCCAGTTCTGTATGCATAAATAAATCTTTAAAAAAAATCTATAAATTTCCTAAAAGACACTTACTGTAAAACAAAGATGAAAAATATCTTGTGAGAACAGGAAAAAAAGCCCTCACAAACTGTTAAAATGCAACCTGAGTGAGCTTGACCTCAGTTAGGAGTAAAAGGGGAAGAAGGGTGACTCTTCAAGGAAGAGCACATGTGAATCGGGACCTCATGACCTAGCATGGAGAAGACACATACTTTCAAATGTCTGCATTAGGAAGGATCACTGTAAATATCATTTTAATCCAAGTATTTGCTGGCAGCTGATTTGCAAGTATTGTATATCTTTTTAAGTTTGATGACAGTTTTCACGAGCTTTCCTGTCACATAGTCACTACATTTTTCTTTGTTACATGTTTGACTAAAATGACAGCATGGGGCCCTCCCTGGTGGCACAGTGGGTTAGAGCACAGCAAGACAAAGCTAGTCCCAGTTACTTCAGCACAAATTCGACCCCTGGCTGGGGAGGTGACCCACAGGGCGCAGCAGACCTCTCCTGTTTCACCCACTGCTCCCCTCAGCAGCGTACTTCATCAGTCTGCCTGTTCTGCTCCCTGCTTTTGGTGAATCTTCGCACTGCCCCCGTACCTCTGGCCCATACCCCAGTTCTGTATGCATAAATAAATAAATCTTAAAAAAAAAAAAAAAAAGGGGCCTTCCCTGATGGCGCAGCGGGTTAAAGCACAGCACTGACAATCTAAAGCCGCTTCCGCATGAGTTTGATTCCTGCCTGCCCCGGAGGTGACCACATGGCATGGCAGACCTCTCCTGACCCGCCCGCTGCTCCCCTCAGCAGTGTACTTTGTCGATCTGCCTGTTCTGTTCCCCACTCTGTCTCTGGTGAATCCTCTCACCCTCCGCATCTCTGGCCTGTACCCCAGCTCTGTATGAATAAATAAATAAATCTTAAAAAAAAAAAAAAAAAAGGACGGTATGTCAAGGACAGTATGTCATCTGGGAAGTCTGCCAGTCTGCCTTCCTTACCAAAACTCTGTAGAGAGCTGTGGCAGCTACTAGTCAAGTAAACAGAAACTGAAAGTAAACAGTTCTTCACACACACATTTCAAGGGCTCAACAGACACACAAAGCCATGGGTGGCAAGTGCCGTATTTCTAATTCTGTAACTATTAGGACGAGAGAGCCATCGTCCCATCTCTGATAGCAAAGAAATGGTGACTTCACTACATTTCACTGTAGTTAAATGGTTCACTACAGCAAGAAAGAGACATACACTATTAATCACAGTACAACTCACACTTTATTCCATCGTGATTGGTATACTTGTAGGACTGGGACAGCAAGAGACTAAAATCAGTGCAGAACTTCTCTGGACTGAAGGGCCATCAAAGGCATCACTGGCTTTGGCACACAGAGTGGATGGCCACACACCGGCTGCAACGAATGCAAAACATGCAGCTCTCACGGCAGGTTGGAATCATGTCTGTTCTGTAGAATGTTTAAGTGAAAAATGACAGACTAACATGCAACTCTATATAAGTCACATTTTCACCTTTAGACTCTTTTCCCTTAGAGATAGACAGCCATAGTAATCTGTTCACAGTGGCTTAAAAGAGCAATCAATACACAGAGACATCTGCCTGCTGATTTCTATAGCAACCCACCATATCTTAAGAAATAATACTAAATAATGTATTCTCTCTATATTATTCTTATTCGATTGATTCTTACTGACCAACTAATTCTGACTTAACGTTTACTCACTTAAATACACTTCCTAATGTCTTTATAACTTCATAAAGCAGCTTCTGTTAGTTTATCTATCCTTATAAATCACAATAGACAAGGGTATGGCCTAAATAATGGATTATCTTTCTTCTTTAAAGATGACATTATATTGATGAGAACACCAAAGAAGTAACACTACTATGCTGTGAATATTTAGACTTTCACATCATCATAACACAGGGAGTCCAAAGAAGCCAGCATAGTAGGTGACAAAGGAGTCACTATAGAAGAGACACACATAAACGATGTGATTTCTTGAGACAAAGAAGGAAAGAGGGAAAGAAGCAAAGGAAAGGAAAAAGTGAAAAACAGTCTTCTGTAACCCAAATTGTCCAAGAGAAAAATCCATTCACTTGTAATTAACTAAACATAATGGAAAATACTTCCTTAATTTAGGATGGCAGAACTAAAGATACTGAAAATTGTATGGCAACTGGCTTTACTATTAAACCTAAACTGGCTAGTTCTGTTAGTTTTCTTTTTCCTTTTGAAAAGTTAAACTCGCAGAGGGAGAATTTCTGCTTTTCTCCAGCATATTGCCAGAACACAAAAGGCAAGTATAACGACGCAGGGCAATTTTTCTTCATTAACTTGGGCATTTGGGTAACATTCATTCTCTCACTGTTGAAAACATATTACTCATCCATGATAAGCAGTGCAAAATCTAACAGTAACCAAGATTTGGTTCCTTCATGGGGTGTATATAATTAGATATTTGCATGTGATCTGTCTTTCAAAATGAAGCAACGAAGAGGAAAAGGAAGAGAAGGAATTTCTTCAAATTCTGGCAAAAGTCATTATATAAATGAAAAAGACAGATAGTGGTTATTATTTCTTGGTTTTCTCAGAGTCTAGTCACCTCCAGTTACAATGAGGAAGATGCAATGAATGAAGGAAATTCTCTCTTGATCACCAAACATGAAGAATGTTTGATCAGAAACACAGGTTGGCAGAGCAAGACTTGAAGTACTAAAACAGTACTGGTTCTTAGTCTTAAACGAGCCACAGGCAACACAGGAACAGTGGACATAACTAGGTAGTTTGATAACAAGCCTCGGTGAGTCATTATTCCTTGGAAAGTACCATTTCTCTGTGGAAAGCTGATTCTTTCAGGTTTAAGTAAGAGACAATGCTCTTTCCCTTCCTTGCTGCTTTGTTGTTCGTAAGGGACACGTGTCAGCTTAAGGTTGTGTAATTTGAAGACTACAGAGGAAAGACAATTTCACTGAGTTCCACAGTAAGTATTCATGGATATTTCAAATAGACTTGCCCATTGTCTATGGTCAGTTTCAGTCACCTAGCTGATCACTCTGGGGCATGCTCCATCTGGCTGGTGCCAGACTATCGGTAATCATTTTTTGATGTGATATCTTTTTTTTTTTTTTTTGAAAGAAATAGCTTTCTTTCAAAATTGCAGGTGGTAGAAAGGCTGGAGGTAGAGGAATGAAAATAGGTAGTGGGGAGTAAAGAGAAATGAGTTGAAGTTTTGAAAAAATAAGACTGTTCTGCATATGGCCAGTAATGAAGCAAAAATTCATGGGATGTGACTGAAAGATTTTCTATGGAGTTGTACCCATGGGTTGTTTCTAAGCTTCTTGATCTATAATCCCCTACCAAGCACCTGGTGCCGAATTTACCTTCCCAGGTATGGTACTCTATTTCTTCTGAATTTAGATCTCTGGGGCAAACCCTATTAAAATGTGACTCTGTGTATATAACTCTCCCCAAACAGCTGCTTTGATTTTAGTCCTGGTTCTGCTGAGGGACCCATTTGGCTCTCTTAGGAAGAGTGGGGTGGGTAAGACGAAGCCTGGAAACAGAGGAGACCACAGCTGACAGGCTGGAAGGTGGCCTGTGGACTAGACCCCAGATCTTACACAAGGTGACTGTACAGAGGTGGGAAAGACAAAGAAAGTTATTGGGAGAAAGCTTCTAGGGTTCAAAAGGAAAAAAAGAAGGAACTTCACAGGAACCAAGATGATTAATGATCGAAAAAAACACAGCTTAGCTGACTGATCAAGAAGTCACATCTCAGAACATACTGGCAAATAAACGATCATTACACAGGTAAGACAAACACAAAAAAATGAGTGTTTCCTTACTATTATTAATCACATGTCAATAATTCATTAGTGCTATATTTTCTAGATTGCTTAATTCATTTAGCAAATCACAGCTTAGGTACCACCTCAAGGGGAGGATACAGAACAAAGCAATTAAACTTAGGATTCAACTTCTGTAAACCAGTTAGTAGCACAGTGGCACAGTAGATTGTCAATGAAAACAACGGGGATGGGTAGAGTTATGGGCCTCCTGAGGGCAGTATCCCAGGTCTGAGGGTGCTGCGCCTCAGATGAGGGACTCACTCAGGAGCCCACCTTCTTGTTAATTAAAATCGAGCAGCACGTGAGCAGCCCGTCCACCTTTTCCAGTTCAGAGTGGCTCACTGGGATGAGCATGTGGTCCTTCAGCTTCTCATACACCTGCAGGAGGGATCAAGGGAAGAGAGAGAAGAGGATCAGAATTCTCCTTCTGTCTAAACCCCATCTATAACTGGTGCAGAGACTTAGAATTTCGACTCTTCACACACTGAATACTAGGATACGCATCTAAACCACACATGCCCACAGCCACATGCCCAGAGCGTGCAGCCTTGGTTAACCACTTGCTCTGCTGTAACCTCAGAGCCAGAGATGTGTCAGAAATGTGGTTGTCTCTCTCGTTGTCATTTTAGATTAACTGATAAATGCGAGACAGTGGCGTATTTTCAGTCTGAATTTTACTCTCTCCATGCTTAAAAAACCAGTCAACTATAATGTTTCTTTCCTTATCAACACCACTGGGGAAGTAGACAAAATGTAATGTATGTGAAGTACCAGGGCAAATTGCTTTTATATTACAGGTGTGAATTTTATAGCATTTTTGACACCAACAGAAAGCTTGTGCCAAGACTTCAAATTAATCGATTTTTCCCTGATGATCAAAGACTTTTTAAAGAACAAAATCATCTGACTACACACTGCCTAAAGATAATTGACTGTGCTTCTTTAGGAAGCACTTTTGTTTGGGACAGTGGTTAATTAAGCTTGCTGGAGCAGGACAGAGGTGGGTTCCAAACCCAGTCTTTTTTTTTAAGATTCATTTATTTATTTATATTGTAGAAGAACTAGGGTACAGAAGGCCAGAGGTTGGGGAGGGGGGCAGCGATGAGAGGATTCACCAGAGACAGAGTGGGGAGCAGAACAGGGATAGTTACTGAAATATACTGCTGAGGGGAGCAGCGGGTGAGACAGGCGAGGTCTGCTGTGCCATATATATATAGGTCAGCTCCCTAGCTAGGGATTGAACCCAGGCCTTAATGAGACTTAACCCTTAGGCCACCAGGGGGGCCCACACCCAGTTTGACAGCTTACTACTTAAAGAACCACCAGTCCAGTGACTCTGAGAGTCTCAGACTGACAGAGTCTCAGACTGAAAGAACAGCAGCACTTTCACAGGGCTGATGTAAGCACTAAATAATGATAATGCACGGAGCCTGTGAGACACAGGGCAAGCCTCAGTAAATACTGATGTTGTTTTCAGTGATAGACCTGAATTCAGAAGCAATTAATGACCGTTATGGATGATCCAGAGCTGTGCTTCTCCAAGTAAGTTCTACAGACTGGGTGCTTGCTGACAATGCAGATGTCAGGGTGGACTTCAGGAGCCTTTTTAATAACCTGCTTCACCTTCAAGTATGAGACCCATGGTGGGAAAGCCCCCACGACGGGTCAGAAGTCCTGTTGTCCCAGGTTCACATGTTCAGCCACAGAGACAGAAATTGTCTATGCTCCCAGTCTTCTCTTTTTATCTCCTGAGTGGTAAATTAGGAGGATGAACCTAGTAATTACATAGTTACTTGTGTAAAAGGTGGTATAAAATATTTTCTAAAATTTTAAAACATAAATTGTACTACAAGAAAAAGGGTCCATGGTCACTAAAAGCTCTTCTGCCGTTCTTAGTTTAAATATCTTGTTCTTCTGGGCACAGATGAACATGCGTGAAAGACTGGGAAGATATAAACATTTGAAGAACTTTGAAGAATATATGGTAAGTGCAGTTCCACTTGCTTGGTAGAGTTTAAGTGAAATGATTAAAGTTTACACCTGAAACTGGCAGCCTGCTTTGAACGACAAGAAAGATTTTCTCAAGCAGGGAAGAATTCTATATCGGGACACTGGAATACAAGTACAGAGACTCCTGAGCCAGTTGACTGAACCCAACTGTACTCTATTTCTTCCTGCTCTGCCCTTTAACCCTTTGCTGCTAGGACATGCAGTCCCAGCCTTTTTGCAGCCGTGACAATGGACACCCACCTCTTTGGGCCATTTGTAATCCTCTGTCTTCAGAAAGAAATGATCCCTCATGAGGGGCAATTCAGGAAATAGCCATTCTGTTGACTGTGTCATTAAAGGTTTCTGTGCCTTATGCGAACCTGAGTGTGGGTAGGGCCATTCATCAGTGCCAGAGCATTGGCAGCTTGGGAAATCCACAGACTCATCTGAAAAGCTTTGAAACCAGGTATGCTCATCTCAACGGCCATGCATACACCAGGAACCAACAACATGGATGAGAAGAGTGAGTTAAATTAACTTTACTGGGCCCTAAATTATACCAAACTTTCTGCTTTCTGAATGATTCAAAGTATAGAGAGATTTAACACACCATCATGAAAGCATCCCCAGGCAGGAAGACGAACATAGAAGCCAACTCAGCTGCAGGAAGGGTTTCTTTCTTTTTTACCTTTGCACTTTCTGGATACTCTTCTGGGGTCCGGTGCAGCAAGACATGGCCTTTGCTGGGGATATTTAGATATATACAGTTTGCGGCCATGTCATCAGGCACGGTGAGTTTGTCATAGCGGTGATCACTCATCTGTTGCATGATCTATGAAGAGAAACAAAGCAGGTCTGACACTGTCTCCCCATGCTTTAAACCAAAGGGAGGCATTACAACAGGATATAAGCTTGCAACCGATGCTTAAGAACATGCCTGTGTTGAGGGTCCTGTGACTTGCCTCTGTTCACCTACAATCAGAAGAGGACATACCCAAGCTATGATTCTTTGAAAGATTTGCAAGAGCTCTTATTGTTTTAAAAGAGCATGTTTGTCTCTATTTTTTTTTAAAGATTTAAAAATTGCCTATGATATTTCTAATGTTTTTATAAGACCAACCAGTAAGCTACAAAATGTCCACAGATACAAATGGTCCTGGAGGAGGCCCTCCCTGGTGGTGCAATGGGTTAAAGAGCAGCACTATGAAGCTGGGCTTAGCTGCTGGCCATAGCTGCCTCAGCACGAATTTGATCCCCAGCCCAGGAGGTGACCCACATGACACAGCAGTCCTCTCCTGTCTTGCCTGCTGCTCCCCTCAGCAGTGTACTTTGTTAATCTGCCTGTTCTGCTCCCCACTCTGTCTCTGGTGAATCCTCTCACCACCCCTGCACCTGAGGTCTGTACCCCAGTTCTGCATGCATAAATAAATAAATCTTTAAAGAAAAATGGTCCTGGAGGGATTTTGATGGTCCTTGTTTGAGTAAGCAAGTTTGCTATAGCCTATTTGCAAGAAAGTTAACATTTGTTCTCTGGGAATGAATGTTCTACCATCATGATAGAGTGAGAAAATCTATTTAACTCCAGGTTCTAGTACAGGAAGGGCATATCCACACAAACATTGAAAAGGAAAGGGCGGCTTGGTTGGAAAGGGAGATTAGAAAAAGATCTTGCTAGGTCTCCACAGCATGATATTTCAGCAGATTCCTTAAAACATAATAATACTGAGAAATCAGAACCATAAATAAACTTATTTAGCAATAACTATACACACATACAAATGCACAGAGGCAAACAAACACAATTTCCTCTTTTTCTAGGTACATTTAAGATGAATTCATATGTCTGTTTGCAGGTGATACCCTTAATACAATGAGAATAAAAATCACCTGGGAAGAATGTTAAACTCATATTCCTAGGGCTTCACCCTCAGGGATTCCAGTTTGGCAGATTTGAGGTGAAGCAGAGAAATTTGCATTCTGAATGCTCGCCAGGTGATTTTCTGACAGATGTTCCCTAGACCACACTTGGAGAAAAAAAGAATTTAGCAGATATGTCCTTCAAATGATGAGTTTATTAGTATAAAATAACTTAGAAAATAACAAAAATTAAACCTGTTCAAAAATTAAAATATTGATAATTCATCCCTACCTCCTCAACACAATAAAAACAACCTTTCCCAAACAGCACCCCTCTCCTGAACAAAATTATCTAAACACCAAAAGCAAATTATTATTTTGGACTTGAAAAACTATTTTTAATCAGTATTCATACATTTTAAGGAGTCTGCTGAAATGTCATGCTATGAAAATCTCGTAAGATCTTTTCCACAATCTGGTTCTAGTCTCCCTTTCCCTGTCAGTATTTATATAGCACTGTGCTTCCGACTACTAGGCAGACACTAGAATTAGATTTTCCCACTCAGTCATGGTGGCATTAGATAGAAAAGTTATAGTATGAAAGAGTGAAAGAAATTTCCTGCTCTGTAGAAAATTCCTTCCCCAAGAGAACATGGAAAGTGGCCTTTCCTTACCAGCCAGGTAACCATTTCATTTGGAATATGTTAAAGAATAAGAGAAGACGGCTAAATAAGTAGAATAATTATATGACAATAATACATTAACAACAAAGAGGGAACCATGCTATTTTACATTTATCATTGAATCTCAATACTTCTGTTCAATATTGAAGATAACTGAATGGACAGAGGTCATGTAACTTGCTCAACAGCAGAGGTGATTCAAACACAGATCTGTGCAACCTAAAACTTTTGCTATCTTTTTGCAAATTGTGTTTATTGAGACTAATGTTTGGTATCCATGAATGAGTTTTAGGAGTATGGCATATGTTATCACACAACACATCACTAAAGTCCCAGATTGTGCTTTTTCTTGCTCTCTTTCTCTTACAAACTACCTTGCTATCTGCTTTTTCATACAGATTTGGCATTGTAGTTTATTTTCTCTGGCACCAGGAACTCTTTTTTCTTATGTCCTCATATCAGGGCATGGCACAGTTAGTGCAGCTATAGGACCTGGGCTATCTCTGGCACTTTTTTTTTTTTTTAAAGATTTATTTATTTATTCATACAGAACTGGGGTACAGGCCAGAGATGTGGAGGGTGAGAGGATTCACTAGAGACAGAGTGGGGAACAGAACAGGCAGATCGACGAAGTACACTGCTGAGGGGAGCAGCAGGCGGGTCAGGAGAGGTCTGCCGCACCATGTGGTCACCTCCGGGTCAGGCGGGAATTGAACTCATGTGGAAGTGGCTTTAGCTTCTCAGTGCAGTGCTTTAACCTGCTGCGCCACCAGGGAGGGCCCCTGGGCTATCTCTGGCACTTTTTAATTTAAATTATCTCCCTGAAAGGGTAGGCCCACAGAGTGGATCACCTGTGGAGTGCACTCTTCTTTAGAGCCTTAATTGAGAAACTTTAAGCATATTTGAATAAATGACCAGGAAATGAAAGACCTTCCTTAGGATTAACTTTTCTATGAAAATTAACAACAGACTCAACCTAGTCCTCTTTATAAGGTGGCTATGCCCAGAAAGAATATGAAGAGGCTTACGTAAGAGAAAACAAATCCAGACCCAAGTAGTTCCATTATGAACTGCTATTAAAGATTTATTTTTATTTATTTATGCATGCAAGAATTGAGTATAGGCCAGAGGTGCAGAGGGGAGGGTTAAGAGGATTCACCAGAGTAGGAAGTAGAACAGGCAGACTGACTGAAATACACTGCTGAGGGGAGCAGTGGGTGAGGCAGGAGAGGTCTGCTGGGCCATGTGGGTCACATTCCTGGCTGGAGATTGAACTTGTGCCTCAGTGACTGTGGACTGCTTCGTAGTGCTTAGACTTAACCTGTTGTGCCACTGGGGATGCGATGGAAATATTCTTTCGGTGGCTTTCAATACACAATAGTAGTAGCTTCCATTTATTATTGTGTGGAAAGGACAACATTAAGACCATGCACTCTGAAATAAGACTTGCATTTGTATTTTAGCTCTAACCATTACTAATGTGTAATTTTAAGCTTTAAAAAAACTTCTAAATTTCCTGTTATACGAATTTACAAATTAGTCTTTTATATAATTATGTGAAAATTAAATGAAGATAAAGTATATAATAAAGCAGAGTAAGAAGACTTTAATAAGCTACTAGTATTTTATGACAACATGACCAGAAAGATAAGTTTCAAGGTATCAGTCTGCAACCTTGGGCCCACCTCATTCTTAAGACAGTCTGCTTTGGAATTAATTCCTCTTGTTAAAACTGCTGAAGACTAAAGCCATCATACTCCTCTTTTGCTTTCTTTAGTTTACTTATCTCTAAATCCCAAATAATTTAACACATACCCAGATAGTCTTGCAGGTTTAGCATCACATCCCTTTGCCTGGTTCCACTACAGAGAATTACCACAATATCCCTAGACTTTTAAAATCAAGACTAACTTTAAAAGGGGGTTTTTAATAGAATCTCTCTGTTTCTTCAAATGGATTTCTCCTTTCTTGAATGCAGGTCCAGGTTCTAATGGGGTAGATAGAATCAGAAAGGTCTGTTTCTAAAATCATATTTTTCCATACATTGACTGTGACCTTGAGGAAGTCACCAAAATTCACTGAACCACAATTTCCTCACCTGTAAAATAACAATTTCAGAACTATTCCCCATGAAGTAAGTCTGAAGATTTTAAAAAACAAAACAAACCAAAACAGATTATGTATGGAAGTTCTTAGCACAGTTCCTAGCACCTTAAATATGCAATAAAAATGAGTGCTTTTCTCTGTTTCGGGTATGTTATCTGAGATACAGCAGGAGATCAAATATGTTTATAACTAATTGATTCACATCTTCATACCTTAAAAAGAATAGAATGGGCCTCAGCAGTACATGGGGATGGACTGTAAGATTAATTACATATGGGTACAATGGTACACCTCAGAAAAACAAGGTATTGGTACAAGGTATTATCTAGGTCCAGAAATAGAAGTGTTACAACCCAATGTGAATTGGGTTGCCTGAATGTGGATCCTCATCTGTGCACTTATGATTCAACTGCAGGCACACAGAAAAAGGTTAATAATGGGTTTACTGACAAGAGAAAAGGAAACAAATAATGCAGGGAAAGAGAGAGAGAGAGAGAGATAAGTTGATTAATGTATCCCACCAGTTCTGCTGACCTAGAACCTCAATAACACATTGAAAACCAGTGAAGAGCCAAGAGACAGGCTGTGAACTATGAGGCCAAGAGACCACCCCACCCTGAAGCCCACATAACCAGTTTTATATCCAAACTTGGCTGCTTAATTAGACCCTCAGATCCCAGCATGCTTCTCTTTGGTGTTGATAGGATGTGTAGTTATGGGATCTGGGGTGAAAGTGGAGTCCACAAAACCTGTATTTGTAGAGTTCATTCAGGATATCCTTTCCTCCTTACAGAAGAATTCATTACTTAATGAGACTATGGCTAAAATCAATGAGGCCAAGGTCTGTCTATTCCTTATCTTGTACAGAGGGTATTGCATACTCTGTGGTCTGAACCCAAATGACTTTGGATGTGAGATAAAAGGGAGTGGTAGCTCTGGGGACAACCAGAGAGTATGTGACACCAAAAAAGTATTATTAAAACAAAACTACTATGGATATATCAAACCAACACATAGGCCTCTATTTGTGACCCTGGATTTAGTAAAGTAGCCCAGGAACTAAAATAGTCCAGGAGCTTAGGGTCACCTTTTTCATGATGTAAATGGGGCTTCCTCTCAACTACTATTACTCATTTTTATAGTACTGATTCTTCACATTAAATAAAATTTGAAGCTTTGTTACTAT